AGAGGATTTTGGTGTACTTAGTATGTGATATCTTCATTCATTAATGACTGTAAACCCTTTTCTGACCCATACTCTTCTGAGTGCTAAGATGCCTCAGAAAGACAAAGAGGGCATGAAATGATATTGTGACTGACTTTTGAATGCGTCTTATATTGGTTACATAGTCATATTTCAAGGTGTATTCTGTTCTAATTATTGTGTATTTTTGTTTGTTTTTTTAAAGAAAATCTAATACTTCCCACTGCCTTACCTCCCTTAAATTCAACAGCCTTTTTTGAATTACATCTAGAACAGGAAAGAAAACAGATAAAAAGGATAAGGTGGGTTGGAAGGCTCATGAGACTTCTGTTATTTATGCATTGACTGATTAACCCAGTCGGCGGTGGTCCTGGGCATTTAACTCAAGGTACTGTACCTGGTACGCAAACATTGTGCTACAGAGCAGTACCCTTCAGCCCCATCCTACTTGTTTATTTGATTGCGACAAGGACTTGCTATAGCCCAGAATGGTCTCACACACACTAAACTATATGGCTGAGGCTGTCCTTAAACATTCAGTCCTCCTGCATCCCCAGTGCTGCACACATGGGTCACTAAATCCAACCATGCCCCCTAATACCAGTCACCTAAACTTTTGTGATTAGTCAGTTGCACTGGAATTCACTTGTATATATAAGCATCTTAAGATTATGTTTCTGATAGTAAGACTGAATTAACAAGGCCTGGGGACTGGTGAGATGGCTCAGCAATTAAGGGTACATGCTGCCTTTGCAAAGGACCTGACTTAGGTTCCCAGCTCCAGGGGATCCAGTGCCTCTAGCCTCCCAGGCATCCATACTAACATACACATACCCATACACAGACACACTTAAACAAACACATAACTTTAAATAAAAATAAATCTTTTAAGATTTTATGGGCATGGTGGCACATGTCTTTAATCCCAGCACTTTGGAGGCAGAGGCAGTTCCAGGCCAGCTTGGGGCTATAGAGAAACCATTTCTCAACGAATAGAAAAAAGAAGATCAAGAAAAAGAAAAAGTGATTTAGTTTTGGAAAGTGCAAAGGAGGCTCAAACCACATTGATGTAGAGGTCTGCCTTGGGGCAGGCCATTTGTTCATAAGGATGAGTCAGAAAGGGGTCATCAGATCAGTGCCCAACTTCTCAGTAAGGCAGTTAAGATCTAGAAATACAGAATAGTTTTATTGAAGTTAGTTACACAACTATCTTGACCAAAGCCAGCATGTCTACTTTTGACTTGTGGATCATTTGTTTCTCTGCTTCCATTAATAACTAATATAACCACCGATTAAAATAGTACAGAAACTATATTAAAAATTAGTTATATGTCTGGATTATTCCAAGCAGTAACTTGGTTTATAAGTATCAACAAAGAGTGGAAGGGTATACACTGAAACATTAAGCACATTAACTCAAGTAAAGGAAATAAATTCTTAAGATAACTATATTAGTAAATAGAAAATGTATTTATGAGGGCTAGGGAGATGCCTCAGCAGTTAAGATACTGGCTGCTCTTGCAGAGGATGCAGGTTCTATTCCCAGCACCACATGGAGGCTAACAGCCATTTGTAACTCCAATTTCAGGAGATCTGACACCCTTTCCTGACCTCTTCAGGCATTGCATGACATGGGTGCACTTACATACATGCAGGCAATACACTCATACACATAAAAAACAAAAATAATAGATAAAATATTTAAAAATTAAAAAGGTCTGGAGAGATGACTCACTGGTTAAAAGCACTGGCTGCTCTTGCAGAAGACCCAGGTTCGAATCCCAGCACCCATGGATGGTTAACAACTGTCTGTAGCGCCAGTTCCAGGGGATCTGACAGCCTCTTCTGTCCCCCACAGGCATTGTACAACATGGGTGCACTTATATACATGCAGGCATAACACTCATACATATAAAATAAAAATAAATAAACCAAAACCACTTTTTTGTGTTTTTAATCCCTGTTTATTTAAAGATACACACACAGGTACTTTTTAAAGTATTTTTAAAATATTTTATTTTATGTGTATGTGTGTATTGCCTGCATGTAGGTAAGTGCACATGTGTCATGCAGTGCCTGTGGAGGACAGAAGAGGCTGTCGGATCCCCTGGAACTGGAGTTACAGACAGTTGTTAGCTGCCATGTGGGTGCTGGGACTCGAACCTGGGTCTTCTGCAAGAATAGCCAGTGTTCTTAACCACTTAGCCATCTCTCCAGCCCACCAAAACAGTTTTTAAAAAGAAAATGTATTTAACATCTTTTCTCATCCAGTCATTTGTTTTTTCAATTAAAAGGTCAGAGATGGAGAACTGGATAAAGCTGCCTGGGTGTCAGCACATTATGGACACCAAGTGTGACTTTTCTTCAGCCAACCTAGATGTCTATGAGGAAGTTAAGTTGCGTCTAAGAGCAGAACAAGGAAACAGCTCTTCTTCATGGATTGAGGTTGACTCATTTGTGCCATTTAAAATAGGTAAGAGGGGCTTGAGATGGCTGCGTGGTTAAGAGCAGTGGTTGCTCTTGCAGAAGACCAGGGTTTGAATCCCAACTAACAACTATCTGTAACTCTAGTTCCAGGGGATCTGGCGCCCTCTTCTGTCCGGCACGGGCATTGCACAGTAAGGGTGCACTTTCATACATGTAGGCAATACACTCACACACGTAAAATAAAAATAAATTTAAAAATAGGTAAGAAAAAGGTACTAGCTGAATCCTATTACTCTTTAGTAAATATGACCAAAGCAATTCATTTGCATGATGCATGTTTCCTCTGCTGTGGCCCCACTTTTCTGCTCTTGTGTATTAGTGGTTCTCACCAAGAGCCTTTCAGGAGGTCCATAAAGACAAAGCTCTTTTCTTGTAATTCAGACTTTATTGCTTTGTTCATTTTGATTTCTTGTGTATTTAGTGGAATTTTCTAAAGTTGTCTGTGGATCTGTGCTATGAGAACTTGTTGAATGCACATGTGAGATCTGTCTTATTAGTTCAGATTAAAAGACAAAATGTAAAACAATATCACTCTTCTACGTTTTTGTTCTCTTTTGGAAAACCTGTTTTTAAAACAACGTAACTGAGCAATAGCTTTATCATTGTAGTTTTTAATGAATTCAAAATGTTGGTAATTTTATCAGTTTTAATGATCAGTGTGCTAAATGTCAAAAGACCTTACCCATGCAAACTGAAGCTCTTTGGGAGCTTTAAAAGTATTAGAAAAAGCTGGGCATAGTGGCACCCACCTTTAAATCCAGCACTCAGGAGGCAGAGGCAAGTAGATATCTGTGAGATAGAGGCCAGCCTGGTCTACATAGTGAGTTCTAGGCTAGCTTTGGCTACAGGGAGACCTTGTCTCTAAATAAATGGAGGGAGGGAGGGAGGGAGGGACGGAGGAAGGAGAGAGGATGGATCCATCCAAAGACCAGGTAACACTAACCTGTTCCAAAACTCAAAACAGAACGGTTTGTATGCACTTGTCTTTTCCCCGTCGCCTTCTGAGCCCTCTCCATTCAAGCTCTCCCTCTGCAAAAGTCAGCAGCCACCTCGTCACTGCAGATGGACTCCCAGCCTTCTTCCAGTTTGGTGCCTCTGTGCACAGTCTGGACATCGGTCACGCTCTTGACGCTCTTCCTATACTGGTTCTGTGGAGCACTGCTCCTTCCTGATTCTCCTGGTCACTGGCTGTTCTGGTGCCAGTTTTCTATTCTTGGGGTTTGTTTTGTTTTTTCTTTTCTCCTAGACTTTCGAAGTTGGACTGCTGCAGCAGCTAGTCATTAAATGTGCTTTTGACCCGCCAAAATTGCATCTTCGGCCCCCTTGCTCCCTCTGGCCTTCAGACTTGTTTCACCATCTCTATTCAACATTTCCACATAGAGGTAAAACGTCCTGTTACAGGACTGGAGAGATGACTCAGTGGTTATAAGCACGAGCTGCTCTTGCAAAGGACCAAGGTCCAGTTTCCATCAGTCATATGGAGGCTAACAACCATCTGTAACTCTAGTTCCAGAGGATCTGATTCCCTCTTCCAACCTCCTCAGGCATTGTATAACATGGGTGTGTACTTACATACGTGCAGACAATATACTCATACACACAGAGTAAAATAAATAATAACTTTTTAAATCTTTTAAGTCCTATCACATTTAAAACAGAGCTCTCAGTTTCTTCCACAAAACCTGCTCCCCTGCCACTCTCAGTTTCTCATGACAAGGTCAGCTCAGGCCCAGAGCCTGGCTTCATCCCTGGCCTTCCCTCACATCCTACATCTTATGCCCATCACATCCATCTGATCCGTCTCCCGATATGTCTGGGGCTTTCCCCTTTTTACCACTTGTGTTCTTCATGTCTTGCTGGTCTCCTTGCTTCCTCACTCCTTAGGCTGACCATTCTAAGACCAAAGTAGACACTGGGCACTCCTCCCATCTCTGGCCCCCAAAACCACTTCTCTACCCTCCTACCATTTCCTACCACCCTCCCTGTCCTGTGCCCATCACTGACCTATCTTAGGGCTTCACACTTGTTCCTCCATGGCTGGCTTCTTTTCTATGCGTGTGCATGTATCTCCTGTCATTTTATTCAGGCCTCAGCTCAGCTGTCTGTCAGAACAGCTTTTCCTGGCTAACTAAACAGAAACAGCATTTGCTACTGTTCCTCAGTCTTTTATGCTTTTTTTCTTTATAATATACTGTATTAGTCAGGGTTCTCTAAGAGAAACAGAACTGAATATATATAAATATATATATACTTTTTAAAGAATTTATTAATTAGCTTACTCTAACAACAGTTGAATCATACCTGAGAGACTTGAGAACCCAGTAGTTGCTCAGTCCTTGAGGCTAAGGTGATGCCTCACCAATCAGAGTAGTTCCATAGTGGCTGTCTTACACTGGAGAGGCTGAGAACCCAGGAATTGCTTAGGCCATGGGGCTCAGTGCCTCAGCAGTTCCAATGAGCCAAAACCGGGAAGGTTCCTTAGTCAGCGAGTAAACTGGAAAACACTGGTTCTGGTGTTAGACGAGGAATCAGCCAGAACCAACAGGACAACTAAGCTCAGTGGGGAGGGGCAGGCCAAACACGCTGAAGGGAAGCTGTTCCTTCTGTCGTGCCTCTTTGTATCTTGGCTGTAGCAGAACGTACCACAACATTTGGGATGGGTCTTCCTACATCAGCAAATGCAGTTAAGACAGTTCCTCAAGTGAGGTGCCCTGTTCACGTGAATCTAATTTGTGGCAGGTAGCCATTAACAGCAACCATCACAACTCATTACCGCGTGTATTTGTTTGAGGGTGATTTTTTTCCCCCATAGCCTTCTGAAGTATAAGGTCCCCGAGGGACTTTCCTGTTTGACCATACCAAGCACACGTTGTATATTGTGAATATTTTGGAACTGTACTAATGAAGTCACATAACAACTGTTTTAATTTCAACAGCTCACGTTGGTCCCCCAGCAGTGCATTTAGAAGCTGAAGATAAGGCAATAGTAATATACATCACTCGTCCTGGAAAAGGTGGTAACATGTGGGCTCTGGATGATTTGGGGTTCACATACAGCATAGACATCTGGAGCAACTCTTCAGGTGTAGAGGTGAGTGTCTAGTTTACCCTTTTTTTGGTATGAGAGAAAAAAGGGTTCAGTTAATTATACAATTTAACTCTATACCTTTTTGAATTTCTTTCTTTTTATAGAAAACGGTTAAAACTAGCTATCTCACAGATAAGATTTTTAGCCTGTTACCAGAGACTACCTACTGTTTAAAAGTTAAAGCAGTACAGATTGGGCTTGGGAGACATGGTGCCTATAGTCCAGTGCATTGTATAAACACCACAGGTAAGGAAGATCTTTTACCTTAGATTCACTCACTATGTAATGGCAGTATGTAAATTTCTTGACATTTTTCCCTGTAATTGCTGAGCCATTTTGTGTGATGAAATTTTATTATGTTTTAATAGGTATTAAAAACAGGGCCGGGCATGGTGGCACATGCCTGTAGTCCCAGCACTTGGGAGGCAGAAGCAGGTAGATCTCTGTCAGTTCAAGGCCAGCCTGGTCTACATAGTTCCAGGCCACCTGGGGCTACAGGGAGACGCTGTTTCAAAAAGACCAAAAAAACAAAAACAAAGCATCCGGCAGGGGATGTAGGTCAGTGGTTAAGCACTTGTACTTGCGCAGCGTACACAATGCCATGAATTTAATCAGGAAGTATAACAGCACTTACATAAGCCAAAGAAGTTTTTTTGAGATTTTTTTCTCAGTGCTAATTAAAATTAATATTACGCCTATGCTCTGCTTAAAAAAGAAAGGAAGGAAGGAAATGATATGTGTCTGGATAGATAGATGAGAGGGATCTGACTAGACCACAAGTGGATGGACTTGCACTGAGGAACGTCTGGGGACACTGACTTGACACAGTGGGCCTTAACACCCAGAACAGAGTGTATGGGTCCCAGTGGGGGGCTATGGGAGGGTGCTGGTGGGAATGGGGCTATAAAGATGATTCAGATTGTTTAGGATACTCTGTATTAAATACAACAAAATTTAATAAAAATAAATTTTTAAAAAATAATAAAATTAATGCACCCATGTCATGCAGTGCCCACAGAGGTAAGAAAAGGATGTCAGATACCCTAGATCCCACTGGAGTTATAGATGGTTGTTAGCCACCGTGTGGGTGCTAGGAACCGAATTCGGTTCCTCTGCAAGAACAGCCAGTGCCGTCTCTCCAGCCGCAAGAGAGTTCACATATTTTGTAAATGTCATGCACTTTTTATTTTTCATAATACCTAGAAGGAGGTAGTAGTTTCGGCAGATTGGTTACTATTCCAAAAGCATAGCTCTGTAGGCAAAATATGAAAACAGCCTGATATAGTCAATCACTGATAGCTTACCAATAACTAAAGTTATTGTGAGAGCTGGCTTGTTGGTGATTTTAATGACAGATTTAGTGTTTTGTCACTTAACAATATGGGGAAGTTTTCATCTCATTCACTAGATGAAAAACGTGTATGTTTTAATGGATTCTTTGCCTTCTAGTGGCAAATAAGGTGCCTGCACCAGAAAATGTGAAAGTATATGCTGACAGTAAGAACTACGTTCTGACATGGGATTACGCATACACAAACGTCACCTTTAAAGCTCAGTGGAGTGTTTTGTCACTTAACAATATGGGGAAGTTTTCATCTCATTCACTAGATGAAAAACGTGTATGTTTTAATGGATTCTTTGCCTTCTAGTGGCAAATAAGGTGCCTGCACCAGAAAATGTGAAAGTATATGCTGACAGTAAGAACTACGTTCTGACATGGGATTACGCATACACAAACGTCACCTTTAAAGCTCAGTGGCTCCTGTAAGTTCTTGTCCTAAATTTCCTTTTGCCCAATTACCTTGGACTTGCTTTAGCGTTGTCTGTGTGCAGCTTCTTGCACATAAAATAACGTGGATGTGCTATATTGGGAACTCCAGAAATTAAACCAGTAACTACTTAGATAGCCTCGGGCTCAGCACTTACACTCTGGCCTCAGTTTCTTCTTTTGTCCTAACATCTGCCTGGGTTTTTCTGGTGCTCTTTAAACTTAAGAAGCCTTCCCTCTCTTACCTGTGTCGTTTTCTCAGTCTGGAATAGCCGACTCTTGACCCTGATATGTTCCTCAGAACTCAGCTCTTTCATAAGATTGAATTTAGAGTCCATTCACTTGTGACTAGATCAAGCCAGCAAGGTAACCTTTCTGTTTTTTGGTTTGTTTGTTTTTTTAATTCTAGTGTTTTTGACTTTTTTTTTTAAATACTTACTTTAGTAGGAAATTAAAGTTAGTAAACAAATTGAATTCTATGCGGCTGAGCGACCAGCCAAATGCAGATGGAGTCTCAGTCCTCTATAAATGAAAGGAAGCTGCATGTACTTCACATTGAATGAAAAATTGAAGAGAGAGAAAGAGAAGGAAGATGTGTTATGCAGGGAAGGATGGGAAGACATACTGTTTGCAGAGGAGCAGAGGGAACCAAGAAGACAGTGACAGCAGGAAGGAAACGTGAGCAGAGACCAGAAGACGGAGAAGTGAGGGCGAAGGAAGGCGGGTGCTGCTGTGAGCAGGTCTCCCCATCTTTGAAGGGTCTTTGAGCCAAACAGTGGAATGGGAGCACGAGCTCGTGCTTACGTCTCCCACGTCTCTGAACTCAAAACTCAGAGGAGCCCGTCCAGTAGTGTTTTGTGTCCACTTCACTCTCAGCACTTAGGTAACGGACACAGGATACAGAAGAATGGGAACTCTCGGTGGCTGGTCTCTGAGTTTCTTTGAGCGCTTCAAGCACTATACAAAGCACCTAAGAGATGTGAGGATACAGCAGAATAAAGCACATGGTTCTGGAAGTTGGAAGCAGATGCCTGGCATTCCAGAGCGATGTGTGACTTAGGGCTGAGGAGTGCGCTGCAGGTTAGAGATGTAGAGACTGAGAAGGTCAACATGGTAGAGCCAGAGTCCACAGAAGCCATTGGAAAGCTGAGACAGGAGCAAGGCCCCAGTTGTTCTTTAAGTTCTCCTGTGACACTTATTACAGCCTGCACTGTAAGAGGATTGCACTATGTGACCGCCCCCTTTGCAGGTGCCTTAACTATTACCTATGTATACATTGAAAACCACAGTAGACAGTGCTACAATTTTGCTTTTAGCATTTAAATGGCAATTATAACTGGATTTAAATTTTTTTAGTATTTTTAGTTGGCTTGGAAAATAATGGGTGTATTGAGTCAGTTTCTTCAGGTGTACGCCTAGTAGTACAGACAGGTCATGTGGTTCCATTTTTCACTTTTTGAGAAACCTGCACACTGATTTCCATAGGGACTGGATCAGCTTACATTCCCACCAGCAGTGTGTAAGGAAATGCATGTGAGAAAAATCAGAGGTCTATGAAAGACTGAAAATTGGCAGGTGAGGAAGGGGCGTTCGTTTTCTGTTGCCCTGTAGAAATCACCAGACTTATGAGATGAGGAATGGACTGGGAAGTAGCTCAGTCACCAGGTCCTCGCTTCACGAGCATGAGCACCTGAGTTGAATCTGAAGAATTCATGTAAAAACACCAGGAGTATGGTGCTCACACTTTAATCTCAAGCTGGGGAGGCAGGAACAGGCAGATTTCTGAGACTCGCTGGCCAGCTAGACTAGCCTAACTGGTGATTTTAAAGATTGGAAATAGCTGTTTTGAGTTGCAGGCCAGCTTGGGCTATAAGGAGACCCTGTCTGCTGGGGAGCTTTTGGAGGGACAGCTAGGGAAATGGTTTACTGCTGGCTAAGACCACTTACTGAGTTTGAATACCCAGCGCACGTGTAAAAAGCTGGAACTGCTGGGGTTTGCTGGCTGCCAGCCTCGCTCCAGGTTCAGTGAAAGACCCTGTCTCAAGTGAGTAATGTAGAGACTGACAGCAGGACACCTGATGTCTTCCTCTGTCCTCTGACCACACATGGAGCACACACAACTGCCCACACACATGTGCATATACCATACACATACCCACTCACACACTGACTCACCACCCACACACCAAAATATAATAAAAGAAATCCTGGTTTTTATCATAGCACTTCTGTGTCATTCCAAGCTTGGCCTCACTGAGTCCTCTGCCAAGCCATCAGGTGTCACTGAGATGGTGCTTTCTTCCAAAACTTGGTTTCTTCCCACATGTTCATGTGGTTGTCAGCAGAATTCATTTCTGTCCTTTTTAAATTTACATTTTTATTTATTTATTTTGTGTGTGTGTGTTTGCACATGTGCCAAAGCACACATGGGGAACCAGAGGACAACTTGCAAGAGTTGGCTCTCTCCTTCCACCATTTGGGTCCTGGGGTGGAACCTAGGTTGTCAGGCTTGGTGGTAAGCGCCTTAACCTACTGAACCATCTCGCTGGCCCAGAATTCATTTCTTGAAGCTGTAGCGCTCACAGCAGCATCTCAGGGGCCATCTGGAGTGCAGTCCAGCCTTCAGACCCTATTCTAACCCTTCTTCTGAGAGGTCACGTCCACCAAGGAGAGCTTCATTCATTCACTCAGAATGGTGGGTTGGCCCTTAGTTGCACCTTTAGAGTCCTCTCCTCCTTGTCAGGTAACTGTACCCGGTCAGGATGGGAAGCATCCAGCATGTCTTCTGGTCCTGCCCACAATTGAGGGAGGGGATTAACTGGGATGTGGGAAGTGTACACCAGAGGGCAGGAGTCTTGGGGTGTCCTAGAATGTCGCCCATCATAGTAGGAAGGGTGTCCTTCTAGAAGAGCAGGACTTCTGGACATGGAGACGTGATTTTTTGTTTTTTTTTTGTTGTTGTTTTTTAAAAATATTTTTATTTATTTTGTGTGTATGAATGTATTGCCTACACATATGTAAGTACACCCGTGGCATGCAATACCCACAGAGGTCAAAAGAAGGCGTTAGATCCCCTGGAACCGGAGTTAAAGATAGTTGTTAGCCACTGTGTAGATGCTGGGAATTGAACCTGGGTCCTCTGCAAGAGGAGCCAGTGCTCTTAACCACTGAGTCATGTCTCCAGCCCCTAAGTGATTTTTTTTTTTAAGTTGAATGAAAAGGACGGGAGATTGGCTGGCTGTCTTACAGATATTTGGAACCAGTGTAATTGTGTGCTGAGCAGTAGATGGCATGAGGTCTGTTTATGTGCCTAAATTCACTGTGGGGTACTTTGCTCCAGTGACACCAGGTGCAAGGAAAGCCATTAGGAGGCTCTATTAGTTCTGAGCTTACACTGAGATGCTTTGAGTTGTTGCTGTCTGAGCCAGTTACTTAGCCTCTCTAGCGTCAAGGAGGTGCCCACACTTGCTGGAGACTTCTCGGTAAGATAAGTACTATGACCCTTTTGCAGTGGTGTGTTGGTACAGCGACAGACTTTTCAGACGGGCAGAGCCCTACTTGTAAAGTGTTGGTTGAATTCTGTGGTAGAAATATTCCCACAGTAGCACACTTATCCCACATGATAGACATGGCTTCAAGAACAGAATGTAGCCAGGGCAAAATGAGCTTTGAATATGTATTACCCTTGTCTATGTTATGGCCTGGAACTCACTATATAGACCAGGCCAGCCTTGATTTCAGAGATCTGCCTGCCTCTGCCTCCCAACTGCTGGTATTAAAGTTGTGTGCCACCCACCCAGCTGCTATAATCAATTTTTAAATAATGGTTTGCTACTGAAAAACAGCTTTCAGGTTGAGGAGATGTCTCAGTAGATAAAGTACTTGCAATACAAGCATGGGTACCAGAATCCAAAACCCACATAAAAGCCAGGCAGTTATGGCAGCCTGTAATCCTCATACTTGGGTGACCCAGACAGGACATTCTGGGGACAAGCCAGCTGGCTAGACTCACCAAATCAGTAGGCTCCAGGGTCAGCAGGAGACCATGCCTCTGTAAATAGAGTGGAGCACAATGAAGGAGACACCAGACATCAACTCTGAGCCTTCATAATAACACACATGCACCCCGACACCTCCAAAAGGTAAAGTAAAAAACAACTTGCTGTACTGAAATTTGAACACGTACCCCGGAGCAGTCTTTGGCTCTGCACTGTGTTAGATGAGCATGTCTCCTCCACTGTTGCAGGAGTTTCCTAAATGTGAGGAAACTTTCTGTGATTGTAACCTCTTGATAGCATGCCTGGTATGTTACGAGTACTCTGTACATATTTACTGAAGTAATGTGTTTGAATTGAAAGTATGTTTTTTGTTTTCAAAGTGCCTACTTAAAGTTGTCTCCTGGGAACTATTCGGATAAGTGGAGACCCATACCTAGCTGTGAAAATGTCAGAACAATGCGCTGTGTCTTTCCTCGAGATACTGTCCCAAGAGGAATTCTCTTTCTTCATGTACAAGCATCAGATGGGAATAACACATCCTTTGGGTCTGAAGAGAAAAGAATCAGTTGTGATGAATACAGTAAGCCAAAGTTTTTGGACATAGTGCCTAACTATAATCCAGACTGGCCTGGAACACACAGTGTAGCCCAGGCTGACTTCAAACTCATGGCAGTCTTCCTGGTCCAGCCTCCTGAGTGTTGGGCTTATGCCAACTTTTTACTTGAGATTAGAATTCCCTGATTTGGTAGAAGTTCTTTTTTAAGGTATTCTTTGTGTATGTGCCTGTTCACGCTCAAGCAAGCACATGCCATGTCATGTGTGGAGGTCAGAAGACTTGTAGGAGTTGGTTCTCTCCTTCCACCATGTGGGGCTCCGGGATTGAACTCAGGTTGTCAGACTTGGTGGTTCACACCGTTCACGCTGAGCCATCTCTCCAGCCCTTGGTAAAATTTCTTAAAAACTGTTCAAGATCTCTAATTGAACATTATATCTAATTGCATGTCTTTGTATCTTTTCCAGCCGTCATACCAACTCCGGTTGTTGACATGAAACCCACTAGTGATTCGCTGTTTGTCTCTGTCCGTTCTATAGACAATTCCAGGTGCAAGTTTCATGAACTAGTTTATGAATTTATTTTTTGGGAAAACACTTCAAATACTGAGGTAAAAAGACTACACAGGATAACTTTTTAACTAGAGTTACAACTGTGATTTAGGTAAAGAAAGTTTGAATTTAAAATTTGAGTTATGGGTCACCTGAATCTGTGCCCTACTTAGAGAGAGAGAGAGAGAGCCAGGTGAGTTGGCAGCCAGAGGATCATGTGTGGTAATCTGTTCTCTCCTTCCACTCTGTGAGTCCTAGGAATGGAAATTGAATCATCAGCCTTTTGAAGCAAGGGCCTTTATCCACTGAGCCATCCTACTAGCCTTCTAGTTTGCTTTTAACACAATTCCCAAGTCGTCATCTAAACCAGGGATTCTCAGCATTGGTGACATTTCGGCTGGGTAATTCCTAGGAGAAAACTGTCCTGGCCTTCATAGGATATTTACCATCTCCATGCCTATCAAGGGTCAGTTGTACTCCTTCACAGTTCTGACCACCAAAGTACATGCAGACATTATCAAATGCCCCAGGTGCCATCTTTAGGGAGACAAAATTGGCTCTTAGGAGATGAAGAATCTTAGATAACACAATGAATTTTCTGGCTTACAGGAAGAAAGAAAGCCTCCATAATTTACCTTTATCCATGGTGGAAGAGGAATTAGGAAACAAATACTAAAAAAGTCTCTTTAGGAGCTAGTAAGGAAAAGGGGTTGAAAATACTGGTCCATTTGCTGTAATTCGATACCCGTGGACAGAGCTAATCTACTACACCAGATACTCCACATGAATCCTTATGGGATTACAGTTGGAATCAGCCATTCAAACTCTTGTGTGGTTGATAAAGTGAATTCTGCCTTTGTTTTCTGTTGGAAATTTAAAGCAAATCTCAAAGGGTTGGCTGCTTCCCCTTTAGCTGTCTGGTTATACTAACTGTAGTGTAGTTTAGCCCATTGAGAAGGATCAGCAGTCCCCAGATCAGACAAACCTGAATTGTGTCCCATGCTGACAAGCTGTGACTCACCTTGGGCCACCTGCTTCACTTTATATTTTGTTGTCAGAAACTATAAGATTTTGAAAGGAGAACCCAGGCATGGTGGCGTATACCCTTAATCCCAGCACGTGGGAGGCAGAGGCAGGTGGATCTCTTGAGATTGAGCCAGCCTGGTCTACATAGCAAGTTCCAGGCCTGCTGGGGCTACAGGGAGACCCTGTCCAAAAATAAAAAGATTTGAAGTGAGGATGCATATGCAGATACCTAGACAGAGCTGGATAAATAGGAGATTCAGTAGTTTTAGTTTGCCGTCCTGCCCTATGCTAGACACCTGAGTAGTTATGCTAACAGCAACTTGCCTATCAAGTGTTCCATAGTGCATCCAGTATTATGCTAAGTTCTTTTCATGAACTGTCCCACTCATTCTTCAGTACAGCCTTGGGAGTCCATGTGCTCAATAAAAATGTCCAGCAAACACCTAGGGAGAGTTTTCCCTACTTCCTCACTGATGGACCATAGCCCAAGACCTCCTACCTAGGGAGGAGGCTGGGCCCTCCTGAATCAGTTAACAATCAAGAAAATGCCTCACAGACATGCCCACAGTGGTATCTGACAGTGGCTTTGCTACACAGCATTATTATAGCAATAATTGACCAATACAGATATGATCAGTAATTGTTCTCATTTTACAGATCAGGAAATAAGGTACCAAGAAGTTAAATAACTTACACAAGGCCATACAACTGAAGTGATCATTTAATATAGGCTGTTTGAGGCCAAAACACTCTTAATCGTTCTTTTCTTTAACCAACGTAATACAATGGGAGTTAAAACAAGCCAGTGTACACTCATAAAGTTAGTGAGAACTGACTAAGGAATGTACCACATACTTTGGGGCAGCAGCATTTTCAAGTTCTGATTTGGCTATTATGGGTTATTTAAAACAAATTTGTATTTCTTAAATGTGCCAACTAAGTATTTAGAAGAGATCAATCTTAAATTGAATATAAAAAGAATTCAGAAATAGATATTTCATGTGATGACTTAAGTTTTATCACTGACTTGTTTTTATAGAGAACAGAGGTGAAAAAAATCCCCACGCTTACTCTGCATAACCTACAACCCCTGACAGTGTACTGCTTGAAAGCCAGAGCGCTCGTGATTTCCATAGGGAATAATAGCAGTGATTTCAGCAACACTGTATGTGAGAAGACAACACCAGGTACAGACAGACCTTCTACTATGTTCCCAAATGTAGCAGGCATTCATACAAACAGTCCATTGAAATTTATAAAGATAGAATATTTTCTTCCTGAACTCCAGGAATCAAAAGTAACCTTCAAGCTAAGTCTTCCAGATATAGGAAAATTATTTTATGATCAGTTCAGTTTAGTAGTTATTTTATTTTTTGTGTATGAGCATAGTGCCTGCATGTATGTAAATGCACCCATGTCATGCAGTGTCTGTGGGGGTCAGAAGAGGGCATCAGATCCCCTGGAACTGGAGTTACAGATGGTTGTTAGCCACCATCTGGGTGGTGGGAACTAAACCTGGGTCCTCTGCTAGAACAGACAGTGCTCTTAACCACTGAGCCACCTCTCCAGCCCCCATTTTTGATTACTTTCTTTTTCCTCCACTGTTCACATAAATGATTTCCTTTAGTTTCTGCTATTTGGCATTCAATAGGATTGCTCATTTTTAATTTTGCGTATTTTATACTCTTAATGATCATGTGGAAATCAAGTAATCTGATTGTAAATGTTTTTATATGCAAATGGTTTGTGTTTGACAGTTCCTAGAGGAGACAGGAAGACACTTAGTGACAGAATGTTTTTGGGTTTTGCCAGGTAGTTGTACAGTGCTGGAGCATGCTGCCTATTGGAGCTACATGTTCATATTATATTTAGAGTGCTGGAGCATGCTGGCCTGTTGGAACCACGTGTTCATATTGTTTTAACAGTGCTGGAGCATGGTGGCCTGTTAGAACCTCGTGTTGATACTGAATTTGCTCTGTTGATCCTCATGTTCTAGTTCTCAAATCTTGATGTGCAGCCAGGCGTGGTCACGCATGCCTTTAATCCCAGCACTCAGGAAGCAGTGGCAGGCGAATCTCTGTGAGTTCAAGGCCATCCTGGTCTACATAGTGAGTTCCAGGATAACTAGGGCTACAGGGAGACCCTGTCTCAAAAAGATAAATCTTGATGTGCAAATGCCACTGCCCACAGTTCTGTTCTAAGTGCTAGCTTAAATATTTTAAGGTATTTTCTATTTCCTTTTACATGGCTAGTCTCAGTCTAATTCATTGTGTGTCTTAAGAATGGGTTGATGCTTAACATCATTTATGTATTTTTAGGAAATTCTTCCATAACCTGGATTATACCTGGAGTTTTTGCCATTGCAGTTTTTGTTGTCATTGTTGTGAATATCCTCCTGAACTGTCTCAAGTATATATTCTTTCCATCACTGAAACCTCCTCTCAGCATCGATGAGGTAGGTTTCTTTTGTAAACAGCTAGGAAACAGATGGGAATAGGTTTGATTTCAACAGAATGTATGTTTCCTGATACCCAGAAAGTAAGACAGACTGTTACAGATATGTGCTTCAGATAGAATGTCAATAAATTAACTTTAGAAGCAGTTGTGTTAATACGTGGCTGTAATTCCAAAGCTTGGGGAACTAAGGCAGGAGGGTTGCAGGGAGTTTGAGGCCAGGTTGATCTGCACAGTCAGACTGTGACTAAACAAAGCAAAACATAAATAATGCACCCTGGGCTTGTGACAAAAACCTTTAATCCCAGCACTTGGGAGGCAGAGGCAGGTGAATCTCTGTGAGTTCCAGGCCAGCCTGTTTTGTTTAAAAAAAAATTTTAATCTTTGGAAACAATTATTTAATGACACATAGTTCTGTCCAGAGAATGATGTACGATGCCTTTGTTTTTTGTTTCAGGTGAGTGAGTTTATGTAACAAGCAAAAGTAGGGAGCAGCAGGTAAAGGTAAATAGGAGAACGTCACAGGCAGCAGTGTCCCGCAGCAGTGAGTGCAGAAGCCCTCCTGAAACAGCCCAGCTGCAGTCCCCACTGCAAGTCCTGGACGGGACATTTCCCCTCAAGTGAGGCTTCCGCACAGAATTTCCTACCACGGGATAAACACACAGCTACAAAAGCGTTTTATAATGTATAGCAGGCTCTAGGACAACACTTCATTCTAACTACAGATGGCAGAAAGGTGCTCCAGCAGGGAATCCAGGTGTTTAAATAGGTACGGAAGAGGGTCACCACCGTCTCAGGTAGAATGAAGAGCTGACTTTTTGCCAGACTTCTTTTTCTTCTCCTTTTTTTTTTGGTCTTTTTGAGACAGGGTCTCCCTAGCTGACCTGGAACTCAGTGTGTCGACCAGACTGGCCTTGAATTCCCAGAGATCCCTCTGCTTCTGCCTCCCCGGCGCTGGGATTAAAACATGCGCCACCACGCCCAGCTTGAAAATTAATTTTTATTGTTTGAGATAATGGCTATTCTTTCCCTTCTTTAATTTAGTATCTCTCTGAGCCACCTTTAAAGCATCTCCTTCTTTTGACGTCTGAGGAGCAAACTGAAAAGTGTTTTATCGTTGAGAACACAGACAAGCTTGTTGTGGGAGAAGAAAAGAACACACCTGATGATGATCACAAAAGGTACACATCCCAGACAAGCCAAGATTCAGGGAACTATTCCAATGAGGAAGAGAATGGGGCCAGTGAGTCCAGCGGGGGCTTTTAGGAAGCCATGCCTCCAAGAGACACTCCCTGCTAGGGCAGGCTCCTTACTCCTCCCAGTGACCACAGAGGGTATCTGCTGCTCTGAAAGGAAAAGGCATCCACAGATCACTGGCCCTAAAGTGCAGGCAAGCACTTAACTGGTTAAAAATTGATTCCTGAAGTCTGGAGAACAGTCTTCTGCATCTTGTCATCCAGCAGGTGGCTACCAACTTTCTGATGATGGCTCAGTTCCTATGGTGCTGAATGGTTTGTGCCACAGATCGGCAGGTTACGGCACATGCCGTCTGTCTGTTCTCTATTCTGTGTTACCTCTTGATTTTTCAGGAGACATTTGGAACACATGGCTCTTTAATACTGAGGTAGCTCCCTAGCAGACTGACTTAGGCAGCCCAGTACCATCATCAGATTCAAAACAGGGTCTGTTTTACTATACATCAACACTTCGTTAGCCATCAATTCTTAGAACAGTAGCTTTTGATTAGAATTTGTAGTCACTGAAATCAAGTGGAAGGAGGGAAGGTCCCTGTCTGATTGGAGGAGTCATTGTTAGGTTTTAAGAGCTCACAATGTGTTCTGATTAAGCACTTGTACTCAGGTAGTTGTGGGACCCGAAAATGCCAGTGACAGAAAGACAGTGGGAAGTGGACAGAGGTGAGTGAATGTGCTGGAAAAAACTATGTTGGTTTTTATTATTTGTGTCATTTGTGATATACCAGGTCGACTCCCCACAGTCAGGTTCCCCTTCTCAGCCTCCATGTACTAAAAAAAAATCAAAAGCAACAAAACCAAAGTATTTAATATGAATATGAAGGAAAAACTGTTTTAATTACATAGTTAGTTGCCATTTGAGATTCTCCATGTCTTTTGTAGACAGGAAGTCTAGGACTCCTGTGGCCTTGGGGACAGAGTTCTCAGTTCATTTGTTGCAGCAGGATCTATGAACAAGAAAACGTGCACAGAGGGCCCTTCAGGCATGAAGGCCAGCTAGACTCTTAGTCACATGTGCTGAAGAATAGTCTGCCTAGTGGAAGATCAGAAGACTGTGATGCCCTGCACATCCTAGGCACATATACAAGCCCACACACAACACCTTGTGTTCCTGGCCCTAGTGCCACAAGCTTCTAAGTCATCCTAGTGGAGCATAATGAGCATAGGGCCAGGAAGCCCAACTGACCTGGTTCCTGCTGTAGAGTCCTTACAGTGACCCCACCATACCAGAGACACTTGGTTTAAAAACACAGCTTCTGGGGCTGAAGAGGTGGCTCAGCAGTTAAGAGCACTGACTGCTCTTGAAGAGGACACGGGTTTGAGTCCCACCACCCACATGGCGGCTACAAACCGTCCTTAACTCCAGTTCCAGGGGAATCCGAAGCCCTCTTCTGACCTCCTCAGCATTGCACCACGCGGGTGCACTCACTTACATGCAGGCAATACACTCAGACACATAAAATAATAAAAATAATAAATTTTTTTAAAAAACCACAGCTTGTGAGTTGTCCAGGCATTTGCAAAGGCCTTGTCACTTTGAAAGTTGCCTCTGCCTGCCACTGCAGCTTTGCCCACTGTGCAACTTTAATTATCCTGCCCAGCTCTGTGTTTAGCATAAGAAAAGGCCCTCAGACAGGACAGCCTAAAAAGAAACAAGGCCTTTGTAGGATGTGGAGAAGGGACAATGAGACTGTTTGTTCCCTAAGAAGTGAGAACACAGGTCTTGGGGGGGGGGGGGGGGGTGAGACCCTGCGGTTTCCAATGAGCAAGTTTCTGAGCAGCAGCAGCAAAAGATAGGAAGGGGTTCCACTTTCATCTTGTCTCCAGACACCAAGGTATTCCCTTCCCCATCCTACATGGCGGGCCACATGGTGCTTCATTGCAGTGTGCCGCTTACTTATAAACTGACAGGATTTTTTCTGAACTGTCATTGTGCTTAGAAATACCATGCACTTGGGCCAGGTGTGGTAGCGCACACCTCTAGTCCCAGCACTTGGGAGGCAGAGGTAGGTGGATCTCTGAGTTCAAGGCCAGCCTGGTCTACATACTCAGTTCCAGGCCAGCTGGGACTACAGGGAGACCCTGTCTCAAAAAGACCGAAAGAAAAAAAGAAATACTATGCACTTAAGCACACCAATAAACTGCCTGAGATGGTATTGCTAGCTCTTGGAGAAGCTGAGAGCCATCTAAGGTTTATGTGAACAATATTCTAGGTAAAATGTATGTACATATATCAATAGTGACAGACCTACAAGTTATATATACATATACCTACACATGATGTGGGCTGTATTCCATTACTATTGCCATAAGGCACTTACTAAGATAGATTCTAAAATTAGAAATGCTGTGCTGGACTTTAAACTTTGAAATTTGACCAGATATTTGTAACCTATAAAAAAGTTTGTTTACAGTATTCTTTACCTACCTGTGCTCCTAACTGCCCTGGAGTTTGAGACCAGCCTGAGGAACATAGCAAGACATCATTGTCTTGAGTAATGTACAGGTGTAGATACATGTGTGCATGTATGCAGATATGTATATAAAATGTAGAGCCCACCAGAGGCTGTGATGTTTATTAAAACAGCCTCATATTTCTCTCAGGAGTCGGGGGAGATGTTGCAGAAACTTCCCCACCCCACTCTAGCCTTGCAGCTACCTAACAAGTATTTTCTCTGGTGTCTGTCTTCCCCACTGAAGCAAAAGCTCTTTGAGACTAGGGACTTTTTAATTCATCACTGTGTCCCCAGCACCTTTAATAATGCACTACTTTGCATATAGAAACAGCTCAGAAAATACTTAATGAATGAGATCTGAAATTGAACCAGGCGGTGTTTCTGATAGTGTTTGTTTGTAGAAGGAAATAATCATGTTTTCAGTGTTTGTGCAGCAATTTTGTATCTGAGTTCATTTGTATTTTTTGTCTTAAACTCTATTGTTGTAAAATAATTTTACATAATAAAACTAGAACCAAAATTCTGTGTTTTGGGTCAGTTCTATTTGAATTTGAATTTTGTGTGCCAGGTGTTGGCAGCTGATGCCTTTCAGAGGTGCTAGTTATAGCAGGACTCACACCCCATGTCCAGCATCCTGCAGGAGATAACCTGCATCAAGTGAGCAACACAGAGCCATTGAATTCTTGCTTTCTTGATCTAACCTGCTCTCCCTTTATAAGTATTTCTATCTTCATTCAATCCAATCAACCCCCTTCCTCTGTCTCACATATAGGTAGATCCCTCCTGCTCTTTCGACATGGTAGACTCAGAAATCGAATACATTTTGTATATTCCTATATTTGTGGGTTTTTTGGTGTAGCCCCAGCGGGCCTGGATCTCACTGTGTTGAATGGGGGGAGATGCTAAATTCATCTTCAGTGCCCAGTAAGTGCCTTATTACTTATCATATAGTGACAAATGCCAATTGTTTGTTTGTGACAGCCTTATAGAACAGGGTGGCCTTATAAGTCATAATGTGGCCAGGCATGGTGGCGCACGCCTTTAATCCCAGCACTCAGGAGGCAGAGGCAGGCGGATCTCTGTGAGTTCAAGGCCAGCCTGCTCTACATAGTGAGTTCCAGGACAGCTGGGGCTACAAGGAGACCCTGTCTCAAAAAGACAAAAAAAACAAACAAACAGAAAAAAAAAAAAACAAAAAAAAAACATAATGTGGGGCTAACAAGTGTCCTTAACTCCGGTTCCAGGGGATCCAACAGTCTCTTCTGTCCTCTGAGGGTATTGCACGACACAGGTGCACTTACCTACACACAGGCAATATATGCATACACATAAAGGAAAAAATAATAAAATATGGGGCTGGAAAGATGGCTCGGCGGTTAAGAGCACTGATTGTTCTTGCAGAGGACCCGGGTGTTCGAGTCCCAGAACACACATGGTGTCTACGAACCGTCCTTAACTCCAGTTCCAGGGGAATCCGAAGCCCTCCCTGACCTCCGCAGCATTGCACGACACGGGCGCACTCACATACATGCAGGCAATACGTTCATACAAAATAAAAATAATAATTTTTTTTTTTTTTGAAAAAGGTTATTATGGCCGGCCGGGGCAGTGCACACCTTTAATCCCAGCACTTGGGAGGCAGAGGCAAGTGGATCTCTGTGAGTTCAAGGCCAGCTTGGTCTACACAGTGAGTTCCAGGACAGCTGGGACTACAGGGAGACCCTGTCTCAAAAAAGACCAAAAAAAAAAAAAGAAAAAAGTCATTATGTCCCTGCCTCAGCCTTCTAAGTGCTGGTATCACAGGCTATTGCCTGACTTTTCCTAGATAAACATGAAGAGCATCTCTTTGCCCCAAATATGGCACCAGTGACAGACAGACTGAAAGGATTCCACCCAAGCCTAGTTTGGTGAACCAATGAGTTTATTGGCGCATGTGTGATGATTCATGGAAGTTGTATCTCTAGGGCTCCCTGTCCAACTTGCAGGCAGCGCTGCTGGAGACTTCTCTTCCCAAGCAACTGTTTACCACTTTTATAACCTTGAGGACGGCCCAGGAAATCTTGGAGCTTCCAGATCCTTGTAAGTTTCCGTAGCTTCCCAAGGCTAATTAGCCTTCCTCCTCCCTCAATTCACTACATTAGCTCTGTGTTTGCATGCTGTGTGTTTGGTGCATATATGTGAGTAAGCGGGTGTGCGTGCCTGTGCGCACACAGGTCTAAGCGATGTCCTACATCTTCCTCTTATCAACCTTGAGACAGGAGCTCTTGCTGAACCAGAGTCTTACCATTTTGGTTAGGCTGGCTAACCAGTGAGCTCTGGGGAATCCACCTGTCTGCCTCCCAATGCCTGACCTTTTAGGTAGGTGTTTGGGATTTGAACTCAGGTTCTCTTGCAGTGCAGTGCTCTTACCCACTGACCTGTTTTCCTAGCCCACATTCAGCTTTTCCTTAACAATGTTTTTTTTTCTCAGGCTTAGGATGATCAAAGAATTACCAGTCTTGAGGGCAGCATAATTATATGTGGATATTTGTGGTGGGAGGGGTTATTTTGATGGGAAACTATATTTTCCTTCATCTGAGAGGAACAAGGGTAAAAATTTGTTCTTTTAAAAATATTTTATTATTTTTATCTATATGAGTGAATTGCCCGCATGTAAGTGCACCCATGTTGTACAGTGCTCACAGAGGTCAGCAGTGGGTGTCGAATTCCCCTGAAACTAGAGTTCTGGATGGTTGTTAGCTGCCATGTGGGTACTAGGAATCATCCTCTTCAAGAGCTTTTAACAGCTGAGCCATCTCTCCAGCCCCCAAATTTGTTGTCTTTCATACAAGTGGTTTGCAAGCTTTCCGCCCTTTCTGTGATATGCTACCCCAATCCCAAGCTTATGTGCTGACAGAGGACATGAGTATGAAGAAAGGAATATCTCCTTGGCAGAGGTGATATTCTGACCTGGGAGGAATGTCTTGGGAGGAGGAAGGAAACTGAAAACCACAGCTGGTTAAAATTAAAAGCTGCTTCCCACAGTGACTTGCCCCCCTACACCCAAGTTTTCTGGATCTGTTATTGAGGAAAAGTGAGTAAGACACTCATTTGTAGTGTTTCTGGAAGAAAGGTGTTTTTATAAAGTCAGTCCTTAAGGACATCAGACAGCATGTGGCATTTCTGTATACTGTGTTAAGCATCCCAACCTCAACATGCTTCTAATATTCTAGAATTTTACTTACACAAAGAGGTGATTATGATTTGGCAGTATATAGGAACATCGTCCACCCTGAAAATTTACTAAGAGACATGTACCACATCCACATAGAAAAGTCATTTTTGCCTCATCTGGACCTGCAGACTTGTGTAGCACGTGCCTTCAGATCAGTATTTCATACCTTGTATGTAACGTCTCACAGCAGCACGGACTCTGAAAACAAAGACAATTCCCTTTTTTTTCTTTTGTCTTTCTCTCGCTGGTGGTGTTGGTGTCGTCTGTAACTTGGATGCTGACCTTTCAGTGTGTCTCCAGGACTGTGGGATTTGGAAGCTACATGCATTGACAGTATTCACCACTAGAGGGAAACAAGTCACCTGGTTTGGGCTCCCACCTAACTGGTATTTTTTTGTTTCATTTCTTATTTTTTATTTGTTCTTTGCAAATTTCATACAATATATTTTGATCATATTCACCCCCTCACCCAACTCCTTGCAGATCCACCCTCTTTCCCTACCCACCCGACCTTGTGTCTCTTATTTAAAAATACAAGTTCATTGTGCACTGTCCATATACTCCCAGGTGTCTGTCCAACAGCTATCAATTGCCAGTAGCTCCTCAGGTAGGAGTGGGACTTCGAGCCTACCTCCCCTCTCTGCTGCATTCTAGCTGGCTTGAGCAGGTCAAGTTGGCACTGAGACCTGGATGCGTTGTCCTACTGGCCTTACTAGTGTTCATTGTACAGGAAGGTGCCATGCACGCTACCAGCAGAGGAAACTAATCATCAGTCTTACCAGCTGTATACCCAGTGACTACAATAATGACTGGCCTAGCAAGACCTGCCCACTGGTGGAAAAATGGCACAAATGTCGTGAGAGTAGCCATCCACTTTCTGATTGGATTTAAGGCCTGCTCCACAAGATGAAACCCATTTGGGCACCATTCTTGGGGCCAAGAACTTGTGGCTATACACGTCACAGGCCATAGAGGAGAACCTACTACTATTCTATTAAATGGGTGTGCTGGGTAGCTGTAGTTGTCAACTTGACACACCTGGGTAGAGGAGCCTCAATTGGGGAATTGCCTCCATTGGACTGGCCTGTGGCCATGCCTGTGAGGCATTTGCTTGATTGGTGTGCGAGGGCCCAGCCCACTGGGGGCAGTCCCTCCCTGGGCATGTTTTATATTGTATAAGAAAGCAGGCTGAGCGCAGACCAGGGAGCAAGCTAGTAAGCAGCATTCCTCCATGGCCTGTGTTCAACTCCTGACTCCAGGTTCCTGCCCTGAGTTCCGACCTTGGGCTCCCTCAGTGATGAACTGTGACCTAGGAGATGTAAGTTGAATAAACCCTTTCCTCCCCAAGTTGGTATTGGTCAGAGTGTTTTGTCACAGCAATGAAGACAAGCTAGAACCATAGATCCATGCCTCCTCAGCCCTCCTCAGAGAAGCTTTTTGCAGTAGATGACAATTAACATAGAGACCCACAACTGGTCAGTGAGCATAGAATAAGAGACTGGAATGCTCAGCCCTAAGTAGGACACCTGTTTCACATCCCCTCCACACAAGGCTCAGGGATCATTGCAGAAGAGAGGGCAGGAAGATGGTATGAACCAGAGGCAGTAGATGAACACAAGGAAACTGTTTTCCAGACACAACAGGGCAGATGGACATATGAACTCACAAGGTGTGACAGCATGTGCAAGAAAGGGGTTTATATGGCTGTCATGAGGAAACATGAAGGCAGTATGCATCATTTAAAGTTGTCAGATGGGGCTGGAGAGATAGCTCAGAGGTTAAGAACACTGGTTGTTCTTGCAGAAGACCGGGGTTCGAATCCCAGCACCCACGCGACAGCTAACAACAGTCCATAACTCCAGTTCCAGGGGATCCAACAGCCTCTTCTGTCCTCCATGGGCATTGCACGACACGGGTGCACTTACCCACATGCAGGCAGTACACGCATACACATAAAATATTTTAAAAATAAATAAAGTTGCCAGATGTACCTCGGCACGGTGGCACATGCCTTTAGTCCCAGCACTCAGGAGGCAGAGGCAGATGGATCTCTGTGAAACTGAGGCCAGCCTGGTCTACATAGTGAGTTCCAGGCCAACTGGAGCTACAGGGAAACTCTGTCTCAAAAAAATAAACAAGAAAAATTCCACAAAAAACAAAAAAGGAAAAAAAAAAGTCATCAAATGTAGAAAATAAAAATATGGAACACCCAAAGTTAAATTATGCTTGAATTTCAGGTACATAATATGTCTCATGTAAACAGAGCCCAGATGCTGGTAAGATTAACACTAAGTTTTTTTGTTCTATCA